GAGTTTCGTGGGCGACAAGGAACGAACTGCCCGAGCCAATGAGTGACGTAAAGTGCGCTCCTTGAGTTTGACGGATGACGAAGATGGGGCTGGACGAATTGACTGCGGATGCGATTGAGCTCGCGTTTGGGAGCAATTGACGAGCCGTGAAGACTGAGCAGGTACATCCCGGCGATGCTGATGCCGTTTGGCTGCTGTGAGGAAGCAGCCTAGCAGTTCCGACCGTTCTGCTTCCATTAATTGGCTATGTGGCCCATCGATCAAGCCATTGAGAAGGCATGCAAGACGAAAGCTTTCGCGCGGCCCCTCTGTGTGATGATCGTATCTGGGGAGAGGTATGAGAAAATGCGACTGGATGGAAAGGCGATTTGTGTCACCTGCTGATGTGTTGCTCTGCTTCGACTTGTTGGCCACGCGATGAGTCGCGTAAGTTAGGGATAACGCGGACCATGGGCGACGTAAGTGGGCATGGGCAAGCCGGCCGTTCTCGAAGCGATCGGGTTTTCTAAGTTGCAGCAGTGCGACAGCGGCGACTGCTGTGCGGGCGGATCACGTAGTGCAAGATGAATATTTGCAGTGACGAGGCTTTCACCTGGCACTTCTGGAAAAAGGTGACTCCTAGAAAAAGCTTGTGAAAAGAATGGGATTGGACAAAAAGATGTTTGTGTTACCCGTCACCTCGCTGCTCCCGTGTGTACTGAACTCTAAAACATGCCGATCTGCAAGACAGCACGATGAAACCCTTCGCAAGAACAGAGAAATGGATGTCCCCCCGCAAGAGGAGCGTTCGAAGTGATTGACGCGTCAATGTTGCTAGGAGCCACATAATGAGAGGAGAGGACAATGACGGATAACAACCATCTAAATTCAACACAGCGACTTTTGGGTCCTGAGCATGGTAATTCCAGTTCGTCATGTTCTGTGCATGTTCTATGCTGGAGTTGCAAAGATGGAGCGTCGAGAGTTCTGGTAGGTGGCCGATGAGATCCTGTAACTCCGTGAAGCTTCTGAAAGTGTGGTTTCCAGTTTGAAAGTTGTCGTAGTCCTTTTTAGCGGCATGAGAGAGGCAGTTATCCTGTTCTGATGCAGAGGCAATGCACAATGCGCGTGGAATATCTTGGGCGATACATCGCTTGCCGGCATGATCGACGAAAGATATCTGAGGATACGGTCATGTAGCATGACTGAGGAGGAGGACTGCTGTAGACGTAGATCCCCCGAATTGAGATAGCCGCCTTGTGACCAAGAGGGTGGACGAAGAGTGAAGGGAGCCTCTTTTGTCTGAAAGGTGCTTCGCAAATGCAATTCATGACAGAATGCCATGTTCTCCACTGGTCTAAAGGAATCCACCGACGAATTTGCCATTGCAGCATCGGGGCATGCTGCGGCTTGCTTTGTATCGATGGAGTGTATGTGTCATTCGGCGATGCGAGATGACATGTCACCGGAACACTCATCGCGAGTCTGTGCCGCGTCGAGTCCTTGAAGAGTGTGTTAGTGAGGGCATGTGACCAGAAGATCAATACTACTACCTTTATATGCGTCGCTTTGTCCATTGTCAACTGTCAACTTCAAAGTGCTCCAACTGGTCCCCCCAGGCCGTCAATATGCTCGCGTGGTCCCACGGAGAGTCCGTCTTCAAGACGAATGTATGCAGAGTGTGACAGGTCGGACTGCCCTGGAGGCAGCTAATGAGATCTTCGGAGACGATGGCTGGGCAATCTTGTATTACCAGCCGAGTCAGTCCGAGGCGCAGGATGGGCAAAGCGTCTTCCGGTGTTCTTCGCGCGAACCGTACGCCGCATTCGGACACATTCAGTGATGTAAGTTGCGGCATGCAACGGATGAGACGGTAAAGCTCATGGAGGTTTGGAAACACGCATTTACTGATCGATAGCGTCTTCAAAGACACTAGGGAGGAGATTGCCAGTTGGAATGGGGAGCTGAGCATCAGCGTTTCTGCATGCCAATTGACCGACGAGAATGATAGAACCTCCAGTTTGGTCAAATATCTTGCCAATATAATGGGCGCGAGGTGGACGAATGAACCTTGGAAGTTCTGATATGATGGCCTCTCCTCCAACTGAAGCTCCTGAGGGTCATGCCACGGAAACCGAAGGTCCCTATCCTTCGCGACCCTTGCCAGGGAATATAGGCTTTTCCGACTTGTGAGTCTGACGCGGCTGAACAGTAGATAGCGACTTTTCCACGAGAACAACCGAGAGACCAATGCGCAGCATACGAGAGTAGCGGTGTCGCTGCTCAAATGGTCCAACACGTTCTCCCAGGTTTCTGATGGTAATTGTGTCATTGATTGATACCCGCTTCCGTCTGAACACCAATGGACCTGGGGGGTCATAGGGTGGATCATAGATTTCAGTTCTACAGTCTGTCGACGATATGCTCATGATGATGAACAATACCTGCAGGTAGTTGTCTAGGAAATCCTGGTGCGGCAAGGGTGTTAGCCAGCCAGCACCTTCCCATCTCATGGGCGCAAAGGGAGTGAGAGGCTGGTGGGGCCACAAACGACTGGGGACTACAGCAATACAGGTGCGAACTTATATGATTTCCGCCCTTCCGTACTCGCCCGCTCCGTTTCCAGGTACCGCCCTGCGACACGTTTCAGCCGTCGCTTGGCACTTGTCCCTCCCGACGCGTTGAGCGCGTTCCACCAGAAGTGCCGTCGGTCGGCCACTTCCAACAAGTTGCCTGAGATAGTATAGCACGAAAATGATGGCAAGAGCAGTCGGCGAACACGAGTACCGCTCCGAGCCCTCGGCCAGTCATAAATTTGAGAGGGAAAGGTATTTCGTTCCAGGGATTACCGTTTGAGCTGCTGCGCGAGCACAATCGCGGCGGCATCCTATGTAGCTGCTTATATGTTAAAGATGCCATCGGGACCCTGAAACCTCCTATGACATACATGCGGCTGTACGGATGGCCACCATGAAGGGAGTTCATCGCAGGCTATGCTGATCGATCAAGCAAGATGCGGTTGCGGGACCACAAGGCCAGTTTCCTGTGAGTCAATGCAGGCTGTGACGGCGGACCTCAGCTTCAGAGCAGAAGCTGCAAGTTCACCGCTGAAGGCAGTGTAGCATTGCATACAGCGCCTTTTGCATGATAGAAGCACACAAACAGTCTGTCAAACCCGGACTCTAGAAGCTGAAGCAATGCAACGTTACATACCTCATGACGGTGCGGCCGTGACGACGGCGACGACGACATGATACGAGCTAGAATTTCCATTCGTCAGCGTATTGTTTTCAAATGCTGCGCGCCAGTACTCGGACCCTGAGCAGACAGCGGCTGACTTTGTGGCGATGTACGACTCAATACAGTGGCACAGAACCGCGTATCGCAGCTTGCCTACCTTTGTTTCTCGTGTGCATCGCTCTTAGAACTACAATAGCTCACAGCTCCCGTACAGCCTCGACACAGGCATCGCCAATGGGCTACTAGTAGTATCATAACGATAGACAGGCGCCCACGACTCACACTCTTGGCGACGTGGAATCTCCGCTGTAACTAGTAGCCACAGTAAGCTGTGCAGTGTGCAGTTCGTGAGATCTTTGCCATACCGCAGAGCGCCCGAGCCATCCCATCTCCATGCGGCCCTCTTTTCCGGATGCTTGCCGGCGCCTTCAACGCCTCTTATCGCCGGCTGGCAGCGTCATCTGTTCGCGCGCAGTTTAAGCAGACACCCCGCCTTGAATGCCTATCGCCAGATCCACCTTCGATGTGACCTTGCCGACGCGTTTGCCACCGCCTCCCGCTGCATTCGCCGACCTGTTTTGGAGGCTCTCGTCCACAGCGCATAACAGTGACCACAGGCGATCATACTCGATACAGTCATTGTGCATGGCCATCCCAGGACTGCGCTTGCTCGCACAGAGTGCAACGAACGCCTAGCCATGGCAATCGCCTTCGCGTCCCGTCCTGGTCAGAGAGACCAAAGTGCATGCGTCGGGTTGCACACTAGTCACAGTCCTCCCACCGATGGTAGTAGAGAATCGCCTGGGCGAGTCGCATTGGTATACGACATCGTCTGGAGTGAAAGGGTTTCGGCCAGGAGGTAATTCAAGCTCAATCGCTTGTCGTGAGAACGGCGTAGAGAGGGATCATCGGTAGTACTCGCCTGCCAAATAGCTTGCAGGAGGCACGATGAGATCAAATCAAAATGAGGGTGTGACTCAGTCCGAGTCGGATCGCTCGAGGTTGATAGACAGTCATATATTTACTTTGATCATGTTCCAAAAGATACTGGTAATGGCATGCCGCCACTTCTTCATCACTGGCAGGTGACACGTCAACCAACTTACAGTGAACACTCATCTTGGGGTGCAGAATTCGAGGCTGTTAGAGAGAAATTCGAGTGACAGACCAGGATGCGAGAGACGCGCGAGGATTCCTGAAAGCAGCGGTAATGACTTGAAGAGAGTGCTGCCGCAAACCGCATTGGCAGCGAAGCGGTTTGCGAAACGCGCTTATATGTGCCTGCAAATGATACTATGATAGAGTCA